TTCATTATTCATTGAACTTTTTAGACCCATTATCAGGTCATTTTATGCTAATATTACAGTATGCTAATGGTGGTGATCTACGAGGATATTTATGAAGAAAACAAACCAGAGGCCAGTATAAAATTTTATGTCTGAACTCATCAAAATTGCTATAAAAATTACTTTGGGATTAGAACATTTGCACAATAATGGTATCTTTCATCGAGATCTAGTGAGTTTTGATTATTTAATTGCTCTAATTTCTGCACTGAATTTTAAGTCTATAATTGTTTATTATGAATCACAATAGCATTCTAAAAATATATTGATTGATGATGGAAAGGTCTTAATCATAAACTTTGGAATATCAAGCCGATTTAATAATACCACTGCTTCGATTTCAGGTGTAGGTAATAATATGGTTGGTATGTGGATATACATAGAACCACAATGCTTTATTCAATATGGAATAAAAATTGAACGCAAAGAGAAATCTGATATTTACGGTTTGGGTGTATTACTCTGGAAACTTACAAGTGAAATTCCTCCATTCAATAATTACAATTTTGTGCATTTAAGCCAAGCAATTTCAAACAATGAAAGAGAAAAATCCATTGAAGGCACACCTAAGGATTATTTAAACCTTTATGAAAAATGCTGGTCTTCTGATCTGGATGTGCGCCCAGCAATGAATGAAATTTTAGCTAAGTTTAAGAGTATATCAGAAATATATATTGAATTTATTACCAATAATATAAATATACCGAACTTTCTGATGAAATACTTTTTGATGAAGATTATGATGCAAACGAAGGCTCAAATACGTTTAATTCTTTTGAAGGTAATCATCAAAAAAAGTGATTGTTAATATAGCATAACTAATAATTAAGTCTCTAAGCTAATCTGTCGCAATTTCTTCCATGTAAATGTAAACTAATAATTAAATGTGTTGTAAATATTTAGCGACAAAAAAAAGGAAGTGAAATTTCATCAACAAATGATAAAAATAATAACGACCAAGCAACATTATCAACTTTGATTAGTTCATCGCCTGAAAATAAGAGAATCAGGATCGAAGCATCAGACGAACAATCATGGTTTCAACATGATGAAATTAACATGCAGCAACTTTATGAAATTAACATGCAGAATGCACAAAATGCAACTTCTCATGCGACCATCAGCTCACCACATGGTATTGACGCACAATTCATAAATTATTTTGTAGTATCATCTACTGTTGAAAGAAATGTAAACGCACCAAATTTAGATACGTACATACGCTTAATATTTATAGTTAACCGGTTACTATTTTTGTGACCACTAACCAACAACACATTTGGTGTATATAAGCCAAACAATCGCATGTTTCATCATCATCAAATATCATCTCCGCTTCAAACGCAAATGCTCTACGTGTTGAAAATACTTTACAATATGCTTCTAATAGTATGCGCGTTCACCATAGTATGTTTGTACTAGTCTGGTATATTTCTCCAAAAGTTCTTCTAGTAGATGATAACTTGGTATACTAAAAATTTAGTTCAACATTGCAATAGATAGAATTGGTGCTGTTAATCAAATGAAAATTAGTAAATATAATCTTGTCTTCATGGTAAGTCATAAAGTTCTGCTCTTTGTTACTGTGTTGCAAACCCAATTTGATTGACTTTCTAATATTGCCATGTGCAATTTATAAGAAATTGTTTTATCAAAGTTGGATAGTAAGTTTCTTTTTTAGAATCTCATTTCTCTAATATTATTAATCTTATGATATAAATTTAGGTGTTAAGGCAACAGTTCAAATTAGACATTTCGATAGCTCTACACCAATTATTAGCATCATACCAAGATTGTAGTTTTTATCTTTCACATAGAATGAATGATGTTCTTGCCAAGCCATTCAGCAAATCGATGTTTCTTAAGATGTTAGAAAATTACTGTTCACATCTTGTCATGCCAAAATTTCAGAATATTCCAAGACCATTTGGTGTCTCTGATATGTCAAAATCAGCTTCTAATAGTGATATATTTTCTCACTCTTCAGATATATCGGTTGGAGAAAAAAACAATGAGCATCATGATAGTTTGATTTCAAACCAATTGGTCTTGACCATGTCTGACAGGTTATTTTATTTCGACTGTATACAGGTTATGAACAATCTAGCTAATACATCTTCAGGTACTAGTTTTTTTATACCTACTATTAATATACCAAATATATCAACATCAACTCAAAGTGGACAGATATCTACAATGAATATAGAAACATCGATAATAACGGTACAGTAATAGCAATAATAGAAGTATTGGCAATAATAGCAACAATTTCTAACTTGTTATTCTTGCAAATTTTTTTCTTAGTTTGCCAATATTACAGAGGATAATGATAATCCTCTACCACAATTTGATACTACCAACGATCACAAGGTTTTATTTTTTATAAAACAGATAACTCATGTTAATATGATATGACCAATTTTAAATAACTTAATACATAATTATATATATAATAATAGTGATTCAGTATGCTATTTCCACATCAATCTTACCAAGCAGCATGATCTCCTAGCATTTATCCTATAGGTAATTACCCAATGCTCATGCAAC